GCCAGTTTTGCTCAGTGGTGAGAGCATCGGCTCACAGACTGAAGGGTCCCAGATTCGATTTTGACCAAGGGCATGTACCTCAGTTTCAGGCTCATCCCAGGCCCAGGTCCAGCCACGTGCAGGAGGCAATCAATCAGTCAGTGTGTCTCACATCAATGTTCCTCTCTCTCTCTCAAAAGCAATGGGGGGGGAGGGGGAGGAAGCAATGGGGAAAAATATCCTTGAGTGAGGATTAAAAAAATAATAAATAAATAAACAAATAAACTGGTGTTTAAACTTAAACATTTGGGAGGGGGGATTCATTTACATAAAGACTCTAAGTGGCCCTGGCTGGGTGGCTTTGTTGGTTGGAGCGTCGTCCGGTGCACTGAAAGGTTGTGGGTTCGATCCCCAGTCCGGACACATACAGAAGGCAACCAATCGATGTTTCTCTCACATCAATGTTATTTTCTCTCTCTTTCCCTTCCTTTCTCTCTAAAAATCAACAAAACATACCCTTGGATGAGGATTACAAAGAAAAAAAAGAATCTAAGTGGGATGAGAGGGAGCCAAGTGTATTAAGCACCTTCAGTCATTAGACTCTGTAGAGAGTCACTTATTTAATCCTCACGACAACTCTATGAATAATTATCTCTATTTTACAGATGTAGAAATTGAGGCTCATCAAAGTAATTTGTTCAGGGTCACTTAATCAGTAAGTGTGGAAAGCTGAAATTTTACATAGTTACATGTGACTCCAAAGCCTCTTCTTTCTTCCATTGGCAAGCCATGTTGCCTGCTGGAAGTATTTGATATAGAATAGGAGACAGGTGTGTTTGTTTTTGCATCCAGTGAGCCAGCCACAGAAAGAAACCAGTGTTATTTGGGGTAAGTGGATGAGCATCTGGTGATGTTGCTTGCCCTGCATTAACCTTAACTTTCTCTGTTTCAGCCTATTCTTCAGGCTAGTTCACATGAAGTACAAATGCTTTCTGCTGAGTATCTTGAGCCTAACAGTAGTGATTACATGAGGTTTTATGTAAATATTCACCTGACAAATTAGTCTCCTTTGAAAGCTACTACTTGCAAAGCAGTAAATTCTCAGAAACAATCATGAGCATGCCATTTCCCCCACAAAAGTGAGATCTCACAGCAATCTCAGGGTTGTTTGGGATGATGGATAGTCCATGGTCTCTACATTTCTTCCAGCTTCCATCTGTAGCACTTTTCATCTTAATTGTCTTTTCTTACTAGATTCTTTTTTTTTTTTTAATATATCTTTATTGATTTCAGAGAGAGGAAAGGAGAGGGAGAGAGAGAGACAGAAACATCAATGATGAGAAAGTCATTGATCGGCTGCAGCCCGCAACCCGGGCATGTGCCCTGACCGGGAATCGAACGCTGATCGCTTGGATCCTAGGTCGACGCTTTAACCACTGAGCCACGCCCGGCCGGGCGTTTTCTTACTAGATTCTTTTGAGTAAAGCTTAAAATTGAAGAATGCTGTTTCTTCCCTTCTACTCAAGGTTAATAAATACTTGCCGTGTTCCCACTGTGCATTAAGTCGTGCCAAAGGTTGAGGGTTTAAGGATAAATACATCATGGTCCCTGCCCAGGAGGTGTTTCTAGCCTATTAGAAAAGTCTGGCCCAGCCAGGTGTGGCTCAGCGGTTAAGCGTTGACCTGGGATCCAGGCTTTCAGGGTTCGATTCCCGGTCAGGGCACATGCCCGGGTTGCGGGCTCGATCAATGACTCTCTCATCATTGATGTTTCTCTCTCTCTCTCTCTCTCTCTCTCTCCCTCTCCTTTCCTCTCTCTGACATCAATAAAGATATATTTAAAAAAAAAAAAAAAGTCTGAAGATCACTGTAATTCAGGGTGCACAGTGTACAGTACAATCAGTCATGACCAGCGCTTTACCTCTCCAGTCTTATCTCTTGGTGCTTGTTCCTTCTTCTCACCTCTATCATCCCTTCTATTATTGACTCTTTCAGTTTAGATCTCACTTCTTTCAAGATATTTTCTCTGACCTCTCAGGACAAAGCTAGATGCCCACACCCCAACAATATGTGTTTGCATAGTACCTAAGTACTCACCATGTTCTATTGTAGGTCCTGTTTACTTGGACTATAAGCATGTAAGGGCAAACACTGTTGTTTTTAGCACCAACACTTTGCTGGGCTCATAACCAGTGATTAGTAAATTTTTATTGGAATTCTGCTTGAGTGACTAAGGAAGGGTTTATTATAATGGAAGTGACATTTGAGCCAGTCCTTAAAGGATGGGTAGGAGTTTCCTACATGGACCTGGGAAAGAAATTTCAGGCCAAGGGAACAATTTATACAAATAGATGAGACCATGAAGAGTTTACAAGTGACTAGTCTAATTTCCACATGGATTTTAGACACAGGTTATTAGTTATAGGATATCTCCTATAGCTATCCAGAGTCAGCTAGATTAGAGAGTTAGGTCATGGGGTAAAGAATAGGAAATTGCTCCTTCCCCAATTATAAATCCAGAAGTTGAAAATTAGTCTTTTATTTGAATATGTATCTGTGTGACCTAATAATAATTTCTGGTGGTCAACTTTTTCTAGAGGAAAGTCACTTTTCCTAACCTTCCACTAGAGCTCACCTTCTTGAGACATCTCAGGCCATAAGAGAGTAGTATGCTGAATTAAGCTGAGGGAGATGTGATTAAAATAACTAAAAGCTTAATCTTCTAGGTAATCCAATTTATATTGGTACTTTAGCATAAAGCACACTTAAATAAAAGTGTTATACTCTCCTGATTGATCTTGTAAACTGTTTACTGAAAATATAAAGCATGTTTTCATGTTAGTGTATGATATGATGTGCTTGACCACAGAAAGTTTTGGAGTTGTAAACGTCGCTAAAGGTTCTGAGTGCTCAGCTCTTCATAGGTTACATGCAGTGTTTACAAATAGTTCTTTAATAAAACCAGGGCTTCAAGTGCTGTCTAAATCTAAGCTATAGTTTACATTCCTTTACCTGTTAACCTTTATTTTTATAAGGCCTTGCTTGCTCTTTCCCTAAATAAAATAGGAAGAGATTCATAAATTTTTATCTGTTATCTCTCCCATTCTCTCTTTTTTTTTTAAAAAATATATCTTTATTGATTTCAGAGAGAGGAAGGGAGAGGGAGAGAGAGAGAGAAACATCAATGATGAGAGTCATTGATCGGCTGCCTCCTGCAGGCCCCTGACTGGGGATCGAACCCCCAACCCGGGCATGTGCCCTCACCGGGAATCGAACCCCTATCACCTGGATCCTAGGTCGACACTCAACCGCTGAGCCATGCCCAGCCGGGCTCCCATTCTCTTTTTAAAGAGAGCATCTTTTATTAGGTGACAAGAATAGTTGTGTACTTCTTATAAAGTTAAAATGAGACTTCCCTTTGCATTTCTAAAATATAATGCATAGAAAACTAGAATGAATTCAAGGCTTTGATCATTAAATTTTATTTTTTAATTTTTATTTTTTTTGATCGTTAAATTTTAAAGCCATCAATGGGCCATTATCTTCCTCTCTCTCTGCTTGCCTGCTTTTCCCTATTGGCACAAAGTAAATATTATTAGTCAAGGAACATTTTTTGGCTTGGTACATAGGCAACAGACTTTTTGAGAGATTTCTTATTGCAGAATACGGACTTCCTGGGGAAAGGAATACATCTTAAGGAAGTAAATATTTCCTTGACTGTTTATACAAAAGCTGAAGTGAGTCCTGGATTTAGAATCAAGAGACTTGGGTTTTAGCCCTGGCTCTAAGCAAGGCATTTAACCTATCAGCTTTCTTCTTCTGTAATGATCACTAAGAATCTTGTCATTCTTTTATCTTTAAGTTTTACTGCCACCTTCTCAGTAACCTAAAATCAGCCTTGAGCCAATCCAAGATAGACATTTAAATTTGGCAGGTGGTAAAAAGCAGCTATATACCAGGTTCCATAAATCTATCTGTTCTACTCTTGTTGGCCCTGTCAATATAGATTCTACAGTGCTGTTTCTGGGTGGG